GTCTCCGTGTCCATAACAATTGAAATATTCCCAAAGAAGTTTATAATAAAGTTTCTTCTATAAATATCAAGCAGAGCTTTAAAGCATTAGCTGTGATGCTCTGCTTGTGAAAATAAATCTGTTGGGCAATTTCTTGGCACTCTGACGACAATTCTGAGCGATACTCTGCTGGACAGGACACGGTAAAAAAAAAAAAAAAAACATTTCTCGAATTCTAAGATTTGTCTTAGTATTTTACCTTGGTATAATAAAAGTTATTCACAAAGCATCTTGGGCTTTAAGAGAGCTCCTAAAGTGAAAAATGTTAAGAGTGATTTATTAACTGTGAATTAATAAAATGCTACCGGCTCGATCGCGCAGGGATCCACCCCCTAAACAGTCAAGTAAATAAGCACATAAACTTGTATAACCATCATACAATTATTATAGAGATAAGATGAACCTTATCATCACACAAGGGGGAAAATAACTACTTTCAGGGGCAGGACAGAATAAAGGCGCACCTCTAGTAATGTAATATTAGGAAGGACAAATAAATAATAGAAACAATAATAAATAACCATGAATAAAAGTGAACAAAATTACAAACAATATAGTACAGAGTTAATTTAATATTTACAGACTGTAAAATGCTTCATAAGATACAGTACAATAATCTAAGCACTATATAATCAGAAGGAAGATGTAAATGAGGTGAATAAGTATTTGCTGTATTGTACATGATTTCAGCAGCCTCAGCCTAAATGATCATCTACAACTCTCCTTGTCTGTGGAGAAGGTCTCTGATGTTCTGCTATCTCCTCTCTAGCTTCTGACTGCAGCAGGAACCAGAGCTGCTCACATTCCAGGCTGGTGCTGAAAGCAGAGGGAACGATACATTGATCTGCTGGGAATGCCTGATGTTTGCATCATGATCCCAGGACTAAATCTACTTTTCAACACTCCTCTCTTCTCCTCCACCAGAAGGCTCTGCTCCTCTGTTCAGTTCACTTTTCTCCACCTTTTGTCTCAATTTTGTTTTACCAAACTAAACCTCATTAAGGAGATCACAGTAAATGCTGAATTTTAAAATGGAGTTTTGACGAAAATTCAAACTGAAAGACTCACGTCCACCCCCCGGCCGTCCTATGACTCCACCGTGCGTCTCTCTTCCATCCAATCAGTGTCAGATTCGCATGTGTCTTTAATCAATCATCCTCTGAGGCTTCGCTTTTAAGGACCTCCAGTCATGGATTCCCCGCTCTTCAGCTGAGCTTCGACCCTCCTCCATCCCACCTCCACCATCTCCCTTCCATACTCCTCCCGGCTCCCTCACCTTCTTAGGCCTTCACTCCACCACCAGTATCGGATCCCAAGGGGGGGAAGACTTCTCTAATTCTAATTCTAACCCTAAGATGTTCATTCAAGCTCATGTCATTCTCAGCATTCATGTCTTCCTCCAGAGTCCAAGCACCAAAGATATAAACTTTTATCAATAAACTACTCTAATCGCCATCTTTGTGTTTCTTATTGTGAGACTTTTCAGGTTGAAATTGTAATTTAACTTACCACCATGCACCACACACAGAGACAAAAAAACAGTTTGAGAACTGAAGCAGATGTTTCAGTGTGAGATTATACCCCTGCAAAAATATCAGAATATATTCATTCATTCATCTTCTATACCGCTTATTCCATAGTGGGTCATGGGGGAGCTGGTGCCTCCAGCAGTCTACGGGCAAGAGGCGGGGTACATCCTGGACAGGTCACGTATCCATCGCAGGGCAACCCAGAGACATTCAGGACAAACAACCATGCACACACTCATTCACACCTAAGGGCAATTTAAAGAGACCAATTTACCTTACACTCGTGTTTTCAGACTGTGGGAGGAAGCCAGAGTACCAAGAGAGGACCCACGCATGCACGGTGAGAACATGCAAAGCACCCAGCCGGGAGTTGAACCCAGGACCTTCTAGCTGCAAGAAGGAGGCAACAGTGCTACCAACTGCACCACCATGCAGCCCTGACTATATTTTAAGGGAATTTATTTATTTATCTATTAAAATATTTTTTAGATATTGTACATAAAGCTAAATGTTATTTATTTAAGGTATTTAGTTTTGCACTAACTTTCTGGGGCCAAAACCCCAGAAACTGTCAAACACTACCAGCCATGATGACCAGATACACAGACTAGACTGGACTAGTGAAATGACTTTGAATTGAAATATCACTCTATAATTTTAAGGATTGGATTGCATTCATCTTCTAATAACACATCTTACTCTAGCTGTTATGTTGAGATTAAATATGTTTTTGTGCACTTAAATGATTCCTACAGAGGTTATTAGGTAATTTGATGATTGCATTTATACTGTACCAATAATGTGGCTATTGAGTGAAGTGAAGAAAGAGGCAGGACATATAAAAAATAAATGTGACACATATTTGTTCTGAAGATCTTTTCATATGAAGTTAGCTTAGTATGACTCACATACAGAAGAGTGCAGTGAGTCACTCACTTTCTCCTAAATAAATTCAGTATACATGGAACTGCTTTCATGGCTGAATCAAATGTAATCTGTTTTAGTACAAAAGACTAACTGAGCAATGATTGCATCCAGCTTAGATAAGGAATTGTTTTAAGATGTTTTGTTTCCTACATGAGCTGTATAATTAGAATAAATGTCATGTAGTGGTCTCTACACTATAATGCCAAAGGTATTGGGTCACACCCCCAAATCAATGAATTCTGGTGTTAAGAGTCACTTCCATGGCTGCAGGTGTATGATGTTTGATGTGGAGAAACTTGACTGGTCTGCACAGAGTCCTGACCTCAACCTTCTTAAACACCTTTGGGATGAATTAGAGCAGAGGTTGCAATTTTGGTTTTCTCATCTTACTATGAACACACTCTTAAACCTTGTGGAAGATGTTTACAGAATATTTAAAGTTGCTATTATTGGCAATGGTGGATCCATTAACAAATTGGACCTTAAAAAAGGATGTCATCAAAGTTCATGTACATGTAAAAGTAGACAGACACATACTTTTGGCAATATAATGTATCTCTTAGCTTTAAGATGAGTATCTGTGTTGCGTTCGAGATGCAGTGCCGTTATTTAGATATTTGGGTGTTATAACAACCATGATTCTAATAGAAATGAGACCGCATCAGTGCTCCAACTGATGATAAGTAAGGTTTAGAATAAAACGAACAAAAATATACTGGGTGTAATGTGCAAATCATTGCAATTGTCTGTATTATTATTTTACATACAAGAAACAAATATAATAGCCTTTGGAGATCCTTGAGGAGAGCTGCTGGACCTAATCAATGTTAAACACCATCAAACCCAGTGTGAACTGGTGTAAACTAGGAATGTGTGGTGTTTAGGACCATGAGGAGCATTTTGCTAAAGGAGGCTGGGGGAGAGAAGTATTGGAGCGTCGCTGTCTGTTGCTGCGCGCTGATCCCGGTGATGCTGCCGAGCGTTCCAGCGCTACACATGCTTCGGAGTCCCTCACGCCTGGTCCCGGTAGGATAATGACTCGCTCTGCGCTCTGAAACAACGAGGGGCGAATCAAGATGAAGATGAGAGTGGTAATTAGGAGTGAGAGTGCTGGGGAGGAAATGTCTTATATGATTCTGTTTCTTTGTGTGGGACTGTAGTGTTTGTGCCAATCAGAACTGAGTTGCAGACCGTTCCCTATCCACTGTGCCCCAATTGCACTGTGCATTTATGAAAATAATGAAGGATATTCCTATAAAAGCTCATCCGTGTGAACTTTTTCATTGAGTGAAGGCATAAATAGCCTATAACACGGTTGAACTGAACACTCTGAAACATGCTTCCTGTTCAAAGAGCATGATGAGAGCATTTTGAAAGGTTTAGCTGACAATTCTTTTGCAGCTTTGTACGTGCGGATAATATAATTGCCATTGCTTTAGTCTGAATGTCTTTAAACTTTTCTGTTAATCTGCTCAGACATGATGTTGTATCATGCGATTCCTGTTTGGTGTTTTTCCTTTTTCAAGTGTCAGGGGGTTGGTGGCATCATCATCGTTACCATGGTTACAGGATTGATGGTTGTGTACAGCAGCTCTGGTGGGAGATCACCTTCATCTGCATCTACATCACTGTATTCCCGCCATGTAGATGCTCCGGCCCCAGCCACTAAGAGACCGCACAGTGTGCAGGCATCCACTCTGGGGGGGGTTGCAGGCATCCTGGACCTTAAGGTGAACATGCATCATTTGTGCACAGTGAAAATCTGACTAATTCCACACAATGGTGGTGCTGTATGTGATTTTATTTTGGAACATTCCATACTGAAATATTCTCCATTAGTGTATCCATCCCTAAGGAAAACAAACCTTTAAACAACTTAAATTCTCAAAGACATCAAACATGCAGGAAGAGCAGGCAGTTGCCCAGAGCAGCTTTATAAAGGGTGGCAAGGTGGTGGGGTGGGTCGAACAAGCACCAGATATAAGCATATAAATGTTTTGTCAGTTGCATCTACAAGCTGTCTATTGCTTTAATGCATGTGTAGTCAATGGAAAGTTGATACCCCTGGCTTGCTGCAGAGGATAGGGAAACTATTTTACATGCTTTGTGCAGGACTCCACTGCATTTTAATCTTGTTATTGTCTTTATACATAGAATTTATATGATTCCTTGCAGCTTGACTGGTTAGGTGGTGACAAAAGGAGGGGCTCACCAAGGGCGGCTTTCATGCAAGAACCGCCACAGGGGGCATATCTAAAGTATCACCCAAAATAGCAGTTATGACATGGGGAATATGGCTTCTTTGCTCAGGGTGGCTCTGTGCTAGGGAGCATCGCAGGGAAAAAAATATCTGTCAGTTGTGCCACAAATGAATTTTCTATTCCTTATTCACATGTTCATTCAATTGGAAATAAGTACCCCCTTTTAAGAAAACATGGTCATATACCATAGTAGGGTCATAGGCTGAATTCTACCAGAACATGGGCCTCTGGGTCTATCTTCAAGAGACCCAGCATCTCTTACCCTAGCTCTTAACCTGTACTTCCCTATCCCCTCTACTGCACTTCCCTCTATGCCTGCACTCTGTTTGTACACTTTGTCACTTTTGACAGAACCTGACTGGTGGTCTTCCTTCTAAGTCGCTTATTATTAGCTTTGACATATTTGCATTGTTATATCTGCATCTGCCAAATGCATAAACATAGACATAAATACATTGAAAACTGGTAACTTCACACTACTTATTTCTGAATATGCAGTAAAAAATTACAATACTGCATAAAAGTGCAATATTTTTTGCCATTTCAGAAAGTGAAACCGTTATTTTATAGAGATTCATTCCACATAGAGTAAAATAGTTCAAGCTTTTATTTCTTGTAATTTTAATGATTATGGCTTTCAGGTAAAGAAAATGCAAAATTCTGTGACCCAGAAAATTGTAATATCACATTAGATAAATCAAAAAAGAATGTTGTAAGCCCACATGTCTGGCTTCTGAAAAGTATGTCCATATCTATGCACTCAATACTTGGTTGGGTTTCCTCTTGCTTGAATTACTGCATCAGTGTGTTGTGGCATAGAGGCGTTCAGCCTGTGGTTCTGCTGAGGTGTAATGAAGCCCAGATTGCTTTGATAGCTGCCTTCAGGTCCTCTGTCTTGCTGGGTCTGGTGTCTCTCATCTTCCTCTTGACAACAGCCAATAGATTTTATATGGGTTTCGGGTCAGGGGAGTTTGCTGGACAATCAAGAACAGGAACATCGTGATCATTGAACCGGCTTTTGGTACCTTTGGCAGTCTGGGCCAATCATCATCTCCATACAGCTTGTCAGCAGAAGGAAGCATGAAGTGCTCTAGAGCTTCCTGGTAGATGGCTGCATTGACCTTGGACTTTAGAAAACACAGTGGACCAACAGTACCAGATGACATGGCACCCCAAATCATCACTGACTGTGGAAACTTCACACTGGAGCTCAAGCAATGTTGACTCTGTGGGTCTCCACTCTTCCTCCAGTCTCTGGGACCTTGATTTCCAAATGAAATGCAGAATTTACTGTAATCTGAAAACAGGATTTTGGACCATTGAGCAGTTCCGTTTTCTTTCTGAATTAAATAGCTGATTAGGATGTGACACCGTGAGTATCCAATAATTAACTTTTTCACAGTATTCTAATTTTCTGAGACACTGAATTTGGGGTTTTCATCATCTGTAAGTCATAATCATCCAAATGACAAGAAACAAAGGCTTGGAAGATATCACTCTGTGTGATATGATTCAATATAATATATGAGCTTCACTTTCTGAGATGAATGGCAAAAAATATTGCACTTTTATGCAATATTCTAGTGCTTTGGGATGTGCCTCTAAAACAAAATCATAAATTGTATATTCAGGTATCACAATATGCCAAAATATTGCAGTGGGTGCTTGAAATAATTGCAGTTGTGCATGACAGGCATGCTCAAACACTCCTATGATGTTGTTGAAAGACTATTTATTATTGAGGAGACTGTTGCATTTTTTCAGGCTTACTTAATTCTGTTTAAGCTATGTTTTAAACTTGAAGTTGGAAGCTGTACACTTTTCACTTTGTGTTTTAGTCAAATTAGACATTTTATTTCTGCAGGGCCCCTTTGATGCGAACACAGATGTAGCTGAATTTTTTTTTAGCCAGACCTGAGAAAACAAATAAACAAACATCCATGAAGAAGAGATGATAGCCGTAATCAGGTATCTATTTATTATTTATATAAAAAAATATATTCAGTGGTTTTATTATCCTTTGATTTATACAAGTGAACAATTTACACTCACATTTATACATCTAATGCAAATGTCTGCCCAAGTGCACACTTTTAGTCACCAAAAAAAAAATTCTTTTATACCATTGGTCTTACATCCTCTTCCTATAGATATAATTTTTTTAAGGTTTTGTTCTCCTATCTCATATCTGAAAAATAAAAAATTTATAGATGTCATTTAAGCTACTATTTTTCTTCAGTTGCAGC